CAGGATGAATTGTGAGATGCTGAAACCAGAAGAGTCTGGACAATACAAGGGGACTCAGAGAAGGACTCTGTCTCATTGGAGGAACACTGCTCCAGGTCCCTCTTCAGCCTCACTGTCACCTCCAACACGTTCTGAAAGGAAAACACTGCTATACTTAGTGAACTCAAAACAACATCTGTGATCCTAAGAACACAGAATGGAAAGCACATTAAAGCACACATTAGCCTCGGTGCATTTTGCAAAAGAAGAACCATATTCAAAGATGACAGAATTCTCTTCAATTCCACCCCTAAACCTGTCTAAACCAATCGAAATATGTAAGCTCTGATTCTGAATTTTTAGCAAACAACTTTTGAATACTTACAGAAAGCTAAACAGAGGTCTGATAAGTTAGTTCAATTTATCTAGACCCTTCTTAAATGTATTTATTCTCTCACTATTGAAAGATGAAATACCAAAAAGTCAATGAAAATGATCCCCAGTTTCTCTCAGAATGGCTCTGGTCATGCAAACGTCTATTCCTAAGGTACAAGCAGTCTGTCTTTCTTGTCCATTTATCTCAGAGTTGATACTAGACACTCAGTGGACACTTATTCTATGAAATACATGTCACCTCTCCAGTCTTCACAGTCCTGACACAGAAGTTCAGATCCAGTGGTTATGAAGTTCTTTTGAGTTCCAGAACCATTTGATAATTTGACATAAGCTGGCAGACTTCTCATCAGAAAAATGCACACAGGCCAGGCACAGTGGCCCATGCCTGTAATCCCAGCAACTAGAGAGGCTGAGGCAGGAGGATGGCAAGTTCAAAGTCAGCCTCTCAGCAGATTAGCAAGGTACTTAGCAACTCATCCACACCCTTTCTCTAAATAAAATATAAAAAAAAGGGTTGGGGATGTGGCTCAGCGGTTAAGCACCCTGGGTTCAATCCCTGGTACCAAAGAAAAGAAACGAAAAATGCACACAGAATTCAACAGACTTCACCAAGCCCTTGAAATGAGCCAAGGCTCCCTAGCCCAAGGGTGAGAACACTGGGCTGGATGGGTGTCTGCACTGACAGCGCACACTTCCACAGCGGTTCTGACCTGGAAAACGCTACAAGTATTAATTTAAGAGCGCACTGCAGAAACCAACCCTGGGGTGGTTCTGCTGCAGCCTTACCACACTTGGGGTCACAGTCACACTCCAGTCTCCCGTCTCATTGCTCAGCACATCACAAGTTGGAACTGGCAACACTCCTAAGGGAGAGAAGATTGCAAGGCAGCAGGGTCCAGGGGGTTCCGACTGCCTAGGACGGAACCCCTATACAAGGGTGACATTAGGGAGAGAGGTGGCAACCTCTCTTCAGTTTTTTCATTGGTCCAATGGGAAGGAAAGATGCTACTATTCTCATCAGGGACGTGAGGCAGGGCAGACAAGCACAAAGATTAGCCATTAGTTCAAGCTCTCTTACGGAACCAGTCGCCCGTCCTCTTTGCTCCACCCTGCTTGCTGAGGGCAGAGGCAAGGCCCGCAGGTCGCCCCCGACCCCCACCAGAAGGGCCCACTCCTCACCAGCCTCGACCTGCAGCGGGGCCAGGGACACGGTCACATCCTCGGGGCCTCCAACCAGGGCCGCGCTGACCGCACTGCCGGACATTCGGATGAAAGGAGGGATGAAAACTAGGAGAAAGGGAAGGGGTAGGCGGGATTAACGGCCGCACGACCCCTGCCCGCGGCGTGCGTGGCGGCGGCTCCCGCGTTGTGGCTTCCGGGCCCGGGGAGTCCCATCCTGGTCCCGCAGGTCCCTGCCCCGCGTACACACCCGGGTCCGCCCGCAGCGGCCTCAGGACGCCCTGCAGGAGGAGCCCCAGCAGGAGCGGGGTCGCCGGCGCAGCGCCCATGCCTGGAGCCCGGCCAGCCCTAGAAGCCGGGAAGGGCCCAACGTGGAAGGCCGGGCAGCCACCGCCCCGTTGCCGCCATCTTGTCAAGCGAACTCGCGCAGCTATGGCAACCGCCAATGGGCCGCGGCCCGGCGAGAGGCGTGCTGTGATTGGCTCACTGGCAAGAAAGCCCGCCCCCGGCCCTGGGGCGCACCCCGGCCCCGCCCATCAGGCCTGGCGCTTTTTCTGGGGCTCTGTTCTGTGTGTAGAAGGGAAACGGAGGTGGCGGTGGCCAAACAGCTGAGTAGAAACACCTACTAATTACGGTGCTTCTCCAGCAGAACTATGTCACGTGGCAAAGGTGGCTTGACTCAAGTGGCGGATGAAGGCAGTCGTAGTTGTTAACTGTATTTTGTTGCAGAGGCAGAGTTTGTGTAATGATATTTATGTTTTGTTGATTATTTTTGCTATATGTCCATCCACGTTGTGAATACTTGTTGTAAATTGAGATTTTTATGAGACAAGAAATTTTATATTGTTCTATATTTGTTGAAAAATTTAAAAAAAAAATTTTTTTTTGGGGGGGGGGTACCGGGGAATTGAACTCCGGGACACTCGACCACTGAGCCACATCCCGAGCCCTATTTTGTATTTTATTTAGAGACAGGGTCTCACTGAGTTGCTTAGTGATTTTGGTTGATTTTGCTGAGGCTGGTTTTGAACCTACAATCCTCCTGCCTCAGCCTCCCCAGCCGCTGGGATTACAGGCATGTGTCACCAGGCCTGCTTTTTTAATCTTAAATATTTTGGAGTTTCCAGGCCTCTGTTTTGAATTTATCATTTTATTCCACTATGGTCTAACAATACCTTCTATAACTTTTTTTTTCTCAAATTGAGTTTTATTTTTATAGTCTTAAAACCAAGACATTGTCATAGAGCTTCTGTTGTGTAAACGTGTTAAAATTCTCTTTTGTGGCACAGATTGTTGTCTCTTTTGGAGACTGCTCTGGGTGAATGTATTAAGAATGTTTTTCTTTGCTCCTTCTTCTTGGATGAAGCAGTCTATAATCTCAAATATACTTAGTTGATAGATGCTGCTGTTCAATTCAATCATGTCCTTACCAATTATCTGCCTCCCGAATCTGCACATTTCCAGTAGAGGGGTCTTGAAGTCTCCACCTTGAACCAGAGATTCATCTACTTCTCCTCCGCAGTTGTGAGAGTTTTCCTTATGCATTTTGACTCTTATTCTGTGTACATGCGTTTTATTATTTTGCCAAGCTTTATCCCTGATATTAGGGGGATTATGGAAACCTCTAACTTTTTATCCACACAAATGGAACCATGGGGCACCTGGGACCTGATGGCTATGACTGGCATTGGGAGTAAGGAGTGCTGTAGGACTCCATCCTGCCATCTGTGAATGTGCTGCTAGCACCAGGCAGTTTGTGTCAGAACTGAATTGCGCTGTAGGACATTGCATTGGTGACAGAGACACACAGGGGTGCTGGAGAAAGGACTGCACACTTGGTGTCAATACAAATGCCTTCCCATTTGTTTGCTGGTTGGTTTCCAGTTAGAATGAAGTTGGTCGTGTCCATGTCCAGTTGAAAACTTGGGAGTTTCCCTTCGCCCTGCAGTTAATGCAACTCCATTGCAAGAGTGAGCCTACAGGCCCTGGCTTCTAAACAAAGAGGGGAGGTTTGCACCTTAATAAACTCAATTTTATGGGGATTTGGGGGAAGTGGACCTAAAAGGGGATAAGGCTGCAGTACTGTAATTGCAGAGAATTGTTATCATTGTTCTCCCTGTTTTGTATTGGTACTGAGTATGGAACCTCAGGGCACTTGAAGCCACATCCCCAGCCCTGTGGTTTTTGAAACAGGGTCTCTTGCTATGTTCTTGAAGCTGCCTTTGAACTTGCAATCCTCCTGAGTCACTGGCCACCACTCCTGGACTTTCTCCCAGTTCTTGGAAGTTTTTTTCCCACCACACAATTCTCAGCACTCCCGAAGGAAATCCAATAAAAAAACACATGTAAATAAGGTGTGGCCCAGGAGTGGAGCAAGTACAGAAGCGTTGTAGCATTGGCATGAAAATTTCCCCTGTATCTTGGTTCCTCTCTGGGAAACTGCAAAGTGTTTACATCTCTTGGCGTTTACATCTCTCAGTATCTTGGAAGAAAGCCCAGGGGAAAATTACTAAGAAGAAAGCTGTCAAAGACAAACATTTGCTTTTTTTCATCATCTGTCTTTGGGAAAGGAGTCTACAAATTAAGTAGGCATGGCCACACCCTAAAGTCCGGGTGGTAAAGCATCCACCTGAAAGAAGACATTCCTTTAAGCAACCGTGCTCTGTCCTGTCCTCCTCTCCATGTGATATGTTCACTATAAAGAATACAGAGGGCTGGGGCTGGGGCTCAGTGGTAGAGCACTTGCCTAGCACGTGTGAGGTGCTGGGTTCGATCCTCAGCACCACATAAAAATAAATAGATAAAATAAAGGTGCTGTGTCCAACTACAAATGAAAAAAGAATACACCGAAAACCGGCTGTGGTGGCACATGCCTGTATCCCGGCTGCTTGGGAGGCTGAGGCAGGAGGATCTGTTGCAGGGCCTGACTCTGGACCTGCATGGAAGAATGCTTACCCTGCTCACTGTGCAGCAGGGAAGCCCTAACATAGAACACAGGAAGTTTTGGAACAGAGTGCTGTCAGAACACCATGCGCCATTTCCTTGCTCCTTTGACAGGAAGTTATTCCCCTGTTGGCACAAGGTCAGCCTACGTGGCAGTTTCTAGACTCTTGGTGTCTGGACTCCTGTAACATGATATGTTGTGTATCACCTCTGGCCTATCATGACTGTTATATGATAATTGGCACATACCCACTATAAAAGCTATTTTTGCTGTGCAATAAAGCAGACCCTATTCTCTGAAACCATCTCCAAAGGGGTTTTTCTGCACCTTCAAGCTCCCCACAATCGATGCTGGAAGGGCAGGCCCCTCAGTAAGGATCACTTGAGCCCAGGAGTTGAAGTTCAGCATAGACAACGTAGTGAGACCCTGTCTCAAAAAAAGGAGGGTAGGGGAGAAGGAAGAAAAGAATATATACAAAAAATAAAAAGGCTGATGGCTTTAGGTTTATGAACCAGTCACTTAGCTTCTCAAGGCTGTCAATGTTTGACTCATGGGAAACTGACCCTAGCCTAGCAGGTTGCTCTTGGACCTGGTAAGTGTTCATATCAGAGCAGGGGCTTTGCTCAGGCATCCTGACTAAGGCTGTATGGGAGGTGCTCGAGCAACTTGGCTCCAAAGGAGACCCACCCAGGGACACTAAAAGCAAACCCAGAGTACTGACCCATGCCCCAGTGTGGATGAACCCTGAGAGCATACAAGTGAAAGCCAGATTCGAAAAGCCACGCAGTGCAGGACTCCATCCATATGGGAGTGTCCAGAACAGGAAATCCACAGAGACAGGAAGTACATTAGTGGCTGCCAGGAACTAGAATCAGGATTTCTTCTTGGGGTGATAGAAATGTTCTGGAATAAGAGAGTGGCAATGGTTGAACAAATCTGTGAATATATTAAAAATCACTGAATTGTACATTTTTTTTAATGCTTTATTTTTAAAAAAAAATCCCAGGGTCTCACTAAGTTGCTTAGGGCCTTGCTAAGTTGCTGGGGCTGAGCCCAAACTTGTGATCCTCCTGCCTCAGCCTCCTGAGTATCTGGGATTACAGGTGTGTCACTGCATCCGGCTGAATTAAACATCTTTAAATAGTTTGTTATAGGAATATATTTCAACTAAACCTTAGCAAGAGGAACCCACTAGGCTGCTAGTGCAGCTCCTCATCTGAACACAGGATGACACCACCTTTTCTGGTTGAGATTCACAAGAGATGTGTTGGAAAGTGCTTTTAGCTCAAGGCCACACATGAAATAAGGATTCCATAAATTTTGGCAATTATTCATTGCAATTATTCATGATGAAAGTGGATTTTCTATTTTTCCTTCTACTTTGTGAATGTCGTGATTTTTTTCAGAAAGTATTTAATCATTTTCTATTGTAATTAGAAAAAAAAAGTAATAAAAGTATGCCTCACATCCTGATTTTAGTCACACTGGGCTATTTAGACAGTACTGAAATGAACCATGAAATTCTAGGGTAGTAGTCAAACACACAAAGGAACCAATGCTGAATAGAAGTTGAAAGTTTTTTTTGTGTGTGTGGTGCTGGGGATTGAACCCAGGGCCTTGTGCATGGGAGGCAAAGCTCTCTACCAAGTGAGCTATATCCCCAGCCCAAGATGAAAGTTTTTGAAAAGACTTGTGAAATGGGAGGGAGCTGGAATTCTGCAGCAGACCAGGCTACAGTCTGAGCGGGAGTGAAAGGGCGGGATAGGGCGGGAGGGAAGGGGGACACCTGGACAGCAACCCCGTGTGTTCCTAAGGAGTGTCTGGTGAGGCTGCTCACCTCCTTTTAGAGGCCAAGATGGCCTTGGCCCTCCTGCAACCTGTCCCCCTTGGAGGCCACCCAGGGGAGCCTGGCTTCCCACACAGTGAGGGGCTCCTGGGATCCAGGCCAGTTCTACTCCCAGAAGAGGATCTCCATGGAGGCTGCCACACATTATGGCACTTCAGTTGATAAAACACTGTGCTTCCTTTAACCCATGTGACTGTCCTGTATGGTCAGCAAGGCAGGTATCATCTAAGTGGGTTTGTGGAGGTTTCTAGAGACACTGGGTCTTCTTCTATCATTCACCATCCATGGGGAAAAAATTCTCCACAACCCCTCTTTTAATGCAGGTGCTGCCACCTCATCTAACAGCTGCTGAGGAGCAGCGTCTCCTGGCAGTGTTCCCGCAACCCAAAGATGCAAGCTCCGGGCTAACTCTTCAGTCCTGTTTTGCCACAGAAACAGTCTTAACAAGACTCGCTGACAGATGGCATTAAAGGAAACACACACTCAAAGGAACTTCAAGACAGAAATACCCATAATGTGTATGCATGTCTGTGGTTCCCAGATTCACCAAATATTAATGAATGTTATTTTCTAACCCTATCAACTCTGGGTAGGCAGAAGAATGATGAAAGTGGATTTTCTATTTTTCCTTCTACTTTGTGAATGTCGTGATTTTTTTCAGAAAGTATTTAATCATTTTCTATTGTAATTAGAAAAAAAAGTAATAAAAGTATGCCTCACGTCCTGATTTTGGTCACACTGGGCTATTTAGACAGTACTGAAATGAACCATGAAATTCTAGGGTAGTAGTCAAAGGAAGTTATAAGAGGAAAACCAACTGGTATTTCTGAGTGCAATGGCATTATTAAAAATTGGTACCAGAGAATCATCTTAAAATTCTCATTTCTCTTAATATAAAATGTAGGCCCCAAATTTCAATTCAGTTTTCCATGCACTGCCTGATTTTTACACCATATTTGTTACACCAAAGTGTTTTGGTGCTAAAAACATTCCCTGCACTCTCTCAGAATTACTAGCACTCTAGTAAAACCCTTTGGATAATTTGAAGTAAATAAACTAAATTAAAATAAAAAAAGCCAGGCACGGTGGTGCATTTCTGCAATCCCAGGCTCTTGGGAGGCTGAAGCAGGAAGATCTCAAGTTTGAGGCCAGCTTGGGGAAACTTAGTGAGGCCCTCAGGAACTCAGTGAGGCCCTGTCTCAAAATAAAAAATAATAATAATAATAAAAAGGGCTGGGATGTGGCTCAGCAGTTAAGCACCCCTGGGTTCAATCCTCAATACCACAAATCATCATCATCATCATCATCATCATGTAATAATATATAATAGTTATAATATAATGATGTAACAATAACAATTGTTGTTATTATTTTTTAAAGCAACAGACTATAGATAAAGCCTAAAAGGATGCCTTCAAAACAGCGGGTTGAAGAGTCACATTCATTCTACCGTTTACTCTGCAAAACAGTAACTGCATGGCATTTAAATATTATAGTACCATAAACTGACCCACTTTTCTGTTATCAAAACATACATGAGACTTCCAACCAGCCTTCTTAAGCCAAAGAAAATATCAAGCAAGTGAAATTTTGCTGACCTTGCTCCCAATGTAAAATACAAACATCAAATCTCTCTTCTAATACTTTCTTAGGAGTTGTACATTAAACCCTTCACACCAACTTTTTATTGTATGGTACTTGTAACAATATATTCATGTATAATTTTGGCAAGATTTGAAATTATATTTTTTCAGTTGAATAAACATTTGTCTGACATTTAATGAAATCCATTTATAAAGTACATGTTTGAGGAAATGTTGAAGGAACATGAGATAAATATGATTAAGAGGAAATAATTCAACCAAGTATGAACATTTAAGTTATTTTGTACAAATTTACACAAAATGTATCATGAACACACAAAAACCAGAACTAAGCAAGTATATAAAACAGTTCAAAAACAAAAAAATAGTGAGAAAACCTTGCTAGTTTGTTTGAAACTTTGTCTTTTATAATTTTTTCCCCCTTAGTACCAGGGATTGAACTCAGGGGTACTCGACCACTGAGCCGCATCCCCAGCCTTATTTTGTATTTTATTTAGCGACAGGGTCTCACTGAGTTGGTTAGGGCCACTAAGTTGCCGAAGCTGGCTTTGAACTCGTGATTCTTCTATGATAGCCTCCCAAGCTGCTGGATTATAGGTGTGCACTACTGTGCCCAGCTGAAACTATTCATCTTTTAGATCTAAATGCTTTACCTCCTATACTTAAAATAGTGAGACCCATAATAATTTTTTTTGAGGTTGCAGATGGACAGCATGTCTTTATTTATTTTTATTATTATTATTAATTTATTTTTTTGTAATTGTAGGGGGATAGAATGCCTTTGTTTATTATTTTTAAGTGGTGCTAAGGATGGAACACAGTGTTTCATACATGCTAGACAAGTGTTCTACCACTGAGCTACAGCCCTTGCCCTGAAATAGTAATGTTTTTAAAAAACAAACCACTTCTCAAATGCAAGGATTAATAAATACTTGCAAAGCGATCCTCTAAATCATTGTGTATTTGTTAATGAATACAAATCCAGAACACAATCTGAAATTATCTAAGCAAATTATTTAAATAAGACTCAATTTCTGAGATAGTCAAAGAGAAAATTTAAATCTTATTTATATACAAAGTTTTGTACACAAGTGGGTTTTTGTTGATATGCTTTGAAAAAACGAATCCTATCGCCATTCCTTACACTTGCCTACGCTGTGCTGGACACGAAGGGACCCTGAATGATTTCAAGGAAAATCACTGAATAGAAATAGTTAAAGCAATATTTCAAGGAAAACCATTACATAGAAAAATAAAGTCATTGCTAAAATTACAAATCATGTTTGTTTTGAACTTATGGAAGTTTTCATTATTTAGTTCACAGCCTCTAGAGAACAGCTCTACAATATTAACCTTTCTTCTCATTAACAATGACAGATTTTTATCTGCAGGCAAGTAACAGAATCCATTTTCCCTGACAAATCCCCCTCAGATCATAGACATCTGCTTCCACAAGTAAGTTCTTCACACGTCGGCTCATGAAGAAAAATTTTCCACATCTAGTACACCTGCTTTCCTCGTTCACCTGAAATCAGATTCTGTAGTTACTCAGTGACAAACTTATTATTGGATAACTCTGTCCAAACGTACTGATAACAGATGAAAGAATAAACATAGGGTTGGGGCTGGGACTTAGCAGTAGAGCGCTCGCCTAGCACGTGAAAGGCCCTGGGTTCGATCCTCAGCACCACATAAAATTAATTTTATTAAATAAAGGTATCCATCTATACTAAAAAATATAAATATTAAAAAAAAGAATAAATGTGATAATATCTGAAGCCAAATCTCAATTGACAATAAGGATTTGTTTACATTTGACCACCATGGGAGGCAGCTATGAAAGATGCTTTATCTTAATTGATGACTCCATAAATAGCTACTTTTTCCAAAGCTGTGTTAAATTTCACATGGCATGCATTTCAAAGTGAGAATCTGTAAGTTTAAAAGCCTGACTTTGATAAGTGAACATCCCATAAAAAGAAAGTCAGAGATCTCTGCTTTCTTCCCCCTTTCTAGACAAAACACAGAAGACCTGAGGCTGTACTACACAGGATGACCCCTCACACGCCAGTCCCAGAAGCACAAGCTGAGGATGACATGTAGGGAATATTTCTTGTAAAAAACTCACTATATAAATACCTACCCTATTCATATCTGTATTTATCTCAGAGCATCACGGCAAAAATTCTGCCACACAATTTCTACTAATAGCCTTAAAAGTTGCAAATTTTTCTGCCTGTACTGGGGATTGAACACAGGGACTCTACCACTGAAATACCTTCCTAGCCCTTTGATTATTTTTCATTTTGAGTCAGGATCTCATTAAGTTGACCAGGCTGTCCTCAAATTTGCAATCCTCCTGCCTTGGCCACCACAGTCCCTGGGATTACAGGGGCATGCCACCCACCGCACCTGGTAGAAAATGTTTTCTTATCATGTGGACACTTTCAATTTCTTTTTCTTGGCCTTCAGTACAGGAGGAAGAGAAATCTTAAAGGCTGTCCTGAAATGACAGAGAGAGAAGACTTTAAATGCTCTCAAAGCTCTAAACTTGAGCCACACACACAACCTCAAAGATACTTACTCACACGTGGTACAGATAGGGCTGAAATTGCAGAATACTGTAAATAAAAAAAATAAAAACAGAATGGTTTAAAAACTACATAGTTGGGATCTTTTCTACCCTTCCAACATATAAAAAAAGAAAGAAAGAAACGAGGCCCATGAACTTACTTGACAAACACACTGAGCAGACATAGCCGATTTCAATGAGATTCCGATGACAGAAGCAGGCAGCCCTGTAGTCAACATGAACTGGGGGTGGGAGGATTAACTGAGATCTCTGATCTTGATCAGGAAGAAAAACCCACTGTTTAAAAAAGAAAGAAAGATAAAAGAAACTTTTACTTAGAATACTTGGAAAAAATAACCAGGAGTCAGAATACATAACAGGTACCAGCCAGCCAACATTAAAGAGGATGCTAAGACAAGCCTTTCCTTAAAAGTCTACTGAGAAATGCATTTTTATTCACTCAGCCCACAATGAACAGCTCCAGCCACAGGCACTGTTTTATAAATGGCCACATGAGACACTGCACAGACGTTACAGGGTCTGAGGACCACCAGACACCAGCCTTCCAAGCTCGGAAACCCGAAGCCACCTGCTTACTCCTCCCCTTTAGTCACTGTCCCTGCTCCCAACCATCTAGGTGACCCACGTGGCAGGCGCTGCTGCAATCTCCTTACCAGTAGATACTGCACGAGGGACGGCATCTGAGGCACTTTCAGGTACAGTCCTCCTGTGATGTCACAAGCCTGCAAGACACACAAAGGGCTATGCCAATCTAGCACCTCTGGGCCTTTCCAGGGGGACGGAATTCCCACCAGTGACTCTCCAGGCCTACAAAAGGTCCAGCTGGTGCATGAAGTTCATTGACTCATCTAACAACTGTTTTCAAGCACTACCACATGCCACGTCCCTGGCTCAGGGACTATGGCAGTAAACAAGACAAACAGTGTCATCCTCAGGAACTGGTGCCTTAGTGCTTTCAAAAGATCAGGAATAGGGCTGGGGCTAGGACTAAGCAGTGGAGCGCTTGCCTAGCATGCATGAGGCACTGGGTTCAATCCTCTGCACCACATAAAAATAAAATAAAGGTATTGTGTCCACCTACCAAAAAATATATATATATATATATATATATAATTTTTAAAAAAAGATTAGGAGTAAATGAGACCAGGCAGGATGGCATGCCTGTAACCCCAGCAACTCAGGAGAATGAGGCAGGAAGATCACAAGCTCAAGGCCAGCCTCAGCAACTTATTGAGATTTTGTCTCAAAATAAAAATTTTAAAAGGGGGATCAGTTGGGGCTGTAGCTCAGGGGTAGAGTGCCCCTGAATCAAACCCCAGTACCCAGCCCCCCAAAAGAGAACGAATTGAGTTAGTAAATACAAGAATAACTTTACAGCTTTATGATCGTTTCTATGAAGAAAAATGAAATAGGGTAGTTACAGAAGGCTTCCTGGGAGGTGACAGAGGCAGGGATCGAGTACAGGCAGAGAGCAGGCCACTCGAGCACCGAGGAACAGGGACCGTGTGGTGCTGCTGGGTTTTCGGGCAACAGCCAGGAGGCTGGGGGGTGGGGCTCAGGTCTGCAGGCTCTCAGCAGGCAGGACCTGGACCCTGGAAGAGGACCGAGGTAGAATCCTGTGTGATTTGACACCAGGGGAGGGTTGTTAGGAAGCAAGTTACATCATCTTATTTACATTTTGAAAGCTCCATTCTTTTTTTTCCTGGGTACTAGGTACAGGAGCTGAACGCAGGGGCACTCGACCACTGGACCACATCCCCAGCCCTGTTTTGTATTTAATTAGAGACAGGGTCACACTGAGTTGCTTAGTGCCTTGCTAAGTTGCTGAGGCTGGCTTTGAACTTGTGATCCTCCTGCCTCGGCCTCCTGAGCTGCTGGGATTACAAGTGTGGGCCACCGTGCCCAGTGAAAGCTCCACTCTTACTGCCATGGTGAGAACCAACTTTGGCAGGAGAGGGTAAGCCTCAAAGCTATTGTAGTCACCTACTGAAGGGAGAGACTCGGGATGTATTTAAAAAGAATCTAAAGGATTTGCCAGGAGATATAAAAGGAGAGGCAGAGGAGACAAGCAAGAGCTGGCTGGGGCTTGACCGCTCAGTGACATTGCCTCTTGCTGAGATGGGCTGCCACTGGGGCAAGAAAAGGCTGTGTAAAAAAAGCTCTCCCATGGGGACCTAAGTTTAAGTGACATCCGGATGTCCAAGAGGATATTCTATGAACACGAATGAATATGTAAGCCTGGAGCCCAGAGGAGCAGCTAGGCCTGGAGCAGGGACACAAAGGCAACAGATGGGGCCAGAGCTCGTTTTCAGTCATGGCAGAAGCAAGATCTTGGAGCCCACACCATGTAGACTGAAATGTGCAACTAAAAAATGCAATCAATCTTTCTGGTATTTAAATATTGAAATAAAATCATGTGTGCAAGATTAAGTGGCTTAAATAACAAATGAAGGTATGCCAAGTACCCTCATCTGATCATTACATTATATACCTATATAAAAATGTTACATTGTATGAACTCCATAAATATGCACATATACTATGTATCAAGTAAAAATAAAAACACGCCTGTAATTCCAGAGGCTTGGGAGGCTGAGATAGGAGGACAGCAAGTTCCAAGCCAGCCTCAACAACTTAGTGACGCCCTCAGTAAATTAGCGAGAACCTGTCCCAAAACAAAAAATGAAAAGGGCTAATGATGTGGCTCAGTGGTTAAGCATCCCTGGGTTCAATCCCCAGTACAAAATAAGTTTGAAAGTCATTCTTTTAGTAGCATTTAATTTAACATAGCCACAGTATTATCATTTTAACACTACTCAAAGTTACTCTTTGTAACTATCAACATCAAGAATTGTTTTAAAACATACCTGTTGGAGAAGTCCTGAATCGGAGTCTAAAACGCAGGCATCGATCAGAATATTCTGAAAGGGACATTTTGAAAATATTACAGAAACAATACCAATAATGACTGTCTTATACGTATCACTTTTTCTTTTTTTTGGTACTGGGGATCAAACCCAGGGGCACTTTACCACTGAGCTACATCTCCAGCCTCTTTTTAATTTTTTTATGTTGAAACAGGATCTCGATAAGTTGCTCAGGCTGGTCTTGAACTTGTGATCCTCAGCCTCCCAAGTTGCTGGGATTATAGGTATGTACCACTGCAACTGGCCTATCTTTATTTTTTTATTTTTTATTTTTTTTAAATGTTTATTTTTTAGTTGTAGACAGACACAATATCTTTGTTTTATTTATTTATATGTGGTGCTGAGGATTGAACCCAGGGCCTCACACGTGCTAGGCGAGTGCTCTACCGCTGAGCCACAACCCCAGCCCCTGGCCTATCTTTTAAAAAAAAAAAAAATATATATATATATATATTGGACACAATACCTTTATTTTATTTTTATGTAATGCTGAGGATCAAACCCAGTGCCCCGCATGTGCTAGGCAAGCGCTCTACTGCTGAGCCACAACCCCAGCCCTGGCCTATCTTTTTTAAACCTGTCAAAGAAAAATATATTAGTTATATTCATCTGAACATCTTTACTGTTTTTAAACTCAAAATATTGAATCTTTAAATGCCTCACTAAAGAGAGAAAAACATAGGCAAGGTTTATGCAGAAAACTGCCAAATCCCAGTCGGCACAGCACTCAGGACTGTAAGACAGCTACTTGGGAGGCTGAGGCAGGAGGATCGGAAGTCCCAGGCCAGCCTGGGCAACATAGCAAAACCCTGTCTCAAAATTTAAAAATGTTTAAAAAGGGCTAGGGACGTAGCTTAGTGGTAGAGTACCTGTGCTGAATCTCTATGACCGCAAAATAAAAAGTAAAAACAAAAAAAAAAAAAGGAAAGGAAAGAAACTGTCAAACTAGGGATTGTTGGCTGGGGGCCAAGGATGGACTAAAGGTTCCCTGAAAACGATGACACTGCATGAAAAACCACAGGAGGGCACAGTATTCTGGGGACCCAACTCATTCTCAGGGGTTCTAGGACATAAAACAGACGTGACTGGTTTCCAGCAAAGATCCTGGATTCCTGATCCATTAATAAGACTCTTCACACAGAACGCCCCAAGAAGGTCATTCAAATGACAGAGTCCTTCAATGTGAAACAAATGTCCTCGAAGAGGAAGGCTCTCAACTCACCTGTTTCTGTGCTGCGAAGATGACATTCATGAAGTTCATGTACTGCAGTGCGCTGTCTTCTGCAGCCTTAATAACCTAAAAACCAAGGCCCCGTTAATATCTCTCAGAGTGTCCCTGGACTCCCACTTAAAAGTCACAACCAATACTGTTTTCCCGATTTGTTTTCCTATTTCCATTTTTAAATACTAAAGTAAAAGATGGCAGCAGAACTTGCCCCTAACCCTTCCCCGAGACGACCCTTGTGACAGTTTGAGCATGCTCCCAGAGAGCACCCCTGCAGACCAACACAGTGCACAGAGGGGATCCACTGGTCTCCTACACCTGATTGTCATGCCATGATACATGGAGGGAAGAGATCTTCTTACATCAATGAAATAAAACAGCTGTGTGTCACTTAATGACGGGGATAAGTTCCTAGGAATGAGTCACTGGGTAATTCTGCTGTTTGAACATTGTAGAGTGAACTTTTCACACATCTAGATGGTACCCATCTACCATATGGCGACAGGGTCTATACCTCGTATATGCAGTCCACACTGACAAAACACCACCATGCAGAGCATGAGTATATACGGTACTTCTTGCTGACTTCTCAGATTTCTAGTATTTAACCAATTATCTGCAGAGGACATTTAAGCAGTTTCCAATTCTCTCTTGTGATGTTCAAATGACACCCTCACGTACCCTTTGCTCCCTGATTGCCTCCAGAAGACTGCTAGTGTATGCACTGATTTTTTTCCCCTTCAGTACTGGGGACTGAACCCAGCGTCTCACACATGCCAGGTGGACACTCTACCACTGGGCTACATCCCAGCCTTTTTGTTTTGATTTTGGTACCAGGGATTGAACCCAGATTGAGCCACATTTCCAGACTTTTTTTTATTTAGAGACAGGGTCTCACTAAGTTGCTTGGGGCCTCATTAAGTTGCTGAGGCTGGCTTTGAACTTACGATTCTCTTCACTCAGCCTCCTGAATCACTGGGATTACAGGTGTATGTCATCATGCCCAGCCTTTTCCTTTCAATATACTTTTTTTTAGTTGTAATAGACGTTTATTTATTTACACACAGTGCTGAGAATAGAACCCAGTGCCTCACACATGACAGATACGCGTGCTACCGCTGAGCTCCAGCCCCAGCCCCAGCCCCAGCAGCCTTTTGCTTTTTGAAACAGGGTCTCCCTTCATTGTTGGCTCATGGCTGGCCTTGAACTTTCGATCCTCCTGCCTCAGCCTCCCAAGTGCTAGGATTACAGGTGTGCACCATATCCAGGCACACACTTAATCTTGATACAGATCATAAACCAAAAATCTTATCAATGTATCCTTTCATCAGAAGAGCATGAAAACAACCAATCTAGCAAAAAAACAGCTGCACACATCTGTAATCCTAGCTACTCAGGAGGCTGGGGCATGAGGCTCGTAAATTTGAGGCTAAGGATGAACTCAGTGGATAAGCCCCCGGTTCAATCCCCAGTATTACAGAGAGAGAGAGAGAGAGAGAGAGAGAGAGAACACAACCAATCCGTAACACTGCCAGCAACCCCAGGAACTGCCATGGTTTTTCTCATTTGTGCTAAGCAACAATGAAAATTCCATTACCTGCAATGATTCTGCTTACCAGTCAAGCTGAACATTTTCTTTTTCCTTTTTTGTACTGGGAATTGAACCCAAGGTCACTTAGCTACTGAATCACATCCCTACCTCTTTTTTTTGGGGGACAGAGTCTCAGTAAGTCCTTAGGCCCTCGCTAATTTGCTGAGGTTGGTCCTGAATTTGTGATCCTCTTACCTCAGCCTCGGAGTCACTGGGATTACCACAGGCATGTACCCTGCACCCAGCTCAGGCTGAACATTTTCAAATGCTAGAACTGGCCACTTGCATTCTTCTTTTGCAGGCTCTTTTTTTTTTTTTTTAATATTTACTTTTTAGTTGTAGTTGGACACAATAACTTTATTTTATTTATTTATTTTTATGTGGTGCTGAGGATCAAACCCAGGGCCTCACACGAGCCAGGCAAGCACTCTACCACTGAGCCACAACCCCAGCCCTCATTTTTTTTTCTACCTGTTTTTCTAGAGTGAAAGTTTAAAAGTTTGACTTTTAAAGATTAGCTTTTAATAAGAGTTCTTTTTTTTTTGTTTTAGAAATACAACATCAATTCTCTATAATGTAAATATACTGAAAAATACTTTTTTGCTTGTCTTTGTTTTGAGGGTTTTATTTACTTATTTCTTTTTATGAGGAGTAAAGCCCTCCCTAAGTTCCATGCTTAATAAAGTACTTGCCTCTCAAGATTATCAAAGGATATTTTCTCTTAGCATTTTTGTGACTCAAAATTTAATACTACAAGGTCTGATCTTTGGTAGGACAGATTTAGGTATCAGTAGTGAGACAGGAATCTTCTTTGTTTTGCCCCAAACATCCAATGGGCAGGCCCAGCACTTTTTATTGAATAATCAATTTTTTCTAGTTTAAGTGTCCTTTGTCCCAAGCCATCCTTTGGTAGGAATGTGATTCATTTCTGGACTCCAGGCTTTCCCAAATTATTTGCTGCTACTGTGCCAATGCCACACTGTCACTGTGGCCTCACAATGTACTTTTAATGACTTACAGGGCACGCCCTATTTATTTATTTATTTTTTAATATTTATTTATTTTTTAGTTGTCAGTGGACCTTTATTTGTTTATTTATATGTGGTGCTGACGATGCAACCCAGAGTCTCACCCATGCCAGGCAAGTGCTCTACCACTGAGACACAACCCCAGCCTTCCACATCCTATTTATTATTCCCTTTTAGAAAGAACCTATTTCCTTTCACTTATTCTTCACTTATTACATAGCTGAATTTTTAAAAAAATCTCCCCAGCCTGCTAGGAAAAAAAAAAAAAATTCATTGATTTTCTAACAGATTGCATTGAATATTCAGTGTGATTTTAGAAAACCTCACATCTAACAATTAAATATGGCTCTCCATTTATTTAATTTTTTAAAAAGTGTTCTTAGTTATACTCCATTTAATTTTTTTATTTCAGAATTTTAGTGTTTTTTTTATTGTCAATTTACATAATGCCTGTTTAAATTAATTCTGCTTTTTTCTTTTATTTTAAATGGGTCTTATTCCTACTATTTTCCAATTTAGGTAGTCATATATAAACATATTATTAACTTTTTTTTTTTAATATTTATTTTTTAGGTTTTTGGCGGACACAACATCTTTGTTTGTATGTGGTGCTGAGGATCGAACCAGAGCCGCACGCATGCCAGTGGAGCGCTTGAGCCACATCTCAAGCCCCATATTATTAACTTTTTAAATCTTACCAATATCCTTGATTTCATCTCCTGATTATCTATAAAGAGATAAAAACATTACAATTTAATTGAATAACAATGTAGCTTATCAAACATGTATGGTTATGACTGCTGTTAAATGAATAACAATACAACTTATTAAGCATATGAAACATACGGTTTTCCAACTAAGTTGGAAAACTTATAGACAGTGGTAAAATAAACAGTATTACAGTTCCATAAAAAAGTGCTCTTACCTTTAACTTCTTTGTTTATTCTGTGAATGTCTTATTTTCTTAATATTAAGGAAAACAAAAATTTTATTTCATAAATACTTATAATAAACAAAAAAATAACCTTAAATTTTAGTTAAATAAACTCAGCGACCAGCTAGATGAAAAAAAAGAAATGGTGATAAGACACACAAGAGTGATCAGGCTTTTTGATTACTACCTTTGTAATCAACTGGGCTCTGTATGTTCTTTGTTTCAAATGATTAAAACTACTAACATCTGCCGGCGGTGGCACACACCTATAATCCCAGTGGCTCAAAAGGCTGAGGCAGGAGTTTTGCAAGTTCAAAGCCAGCCTCAGCAACTTAGTAACATCCTGTCTCAAAATAAAATATTTTAAAAAGGCTGGGAATGTGGACTCAGTGTTTAGGTGCCCCTGGTTCAATCCCTGCTACCAAAAAAAAAAAAAATTACATCTGATTGTCCTAATTTAATAAAAAAAAATTGGGGGTTTTAGTTGGACACAAGCGTTCTGCCAGAGTCACAGCCCAGCCTGACTGTTCTATTATTATCCAATGCATCCTAGATCTGAATACTGCAACAACATACAAATCAATAAACCAATCAAATGAGATAGATTTTAAAACCATACAAAGATGATCAGGCAACCTGGGTCAAAGTCTAGAACACAGGAATCATCTGGAACTGTCCTAAAAAATTAAAGCAAAAGGACTGGGGCACAGCTCAGGGGCACGGCACTTTCCTAGCATAAATGAGGTTCTGAGTTCAATCCCTAGTACTGCAAAATAATAACAATACAATTGCATAATACAGACAGTGCTGTGCCTTCCGCTAAGTGCACTAGCCTGTGGGAAGGGGCAGCTCACTAAGCTGACAGGTCAGTAAACAGCTTCTAAAGTTAAACACTGTTTCCAACTCAAGACCGAAAATTTTTTAAAATGCCACCTTATCAAAATTAGAAACAAGAAAGCATCTGAAGAAGCGTTTGTTGCAGGCATAAGGACATTCGGGAGGAACTGGAGTTCATTCTTACCTCATTTTAAAGTTTTATAGGTGATCTCAAAGCCAAGATAAACTATATACCTTAAATTATCATACTGACCACTTCAGAACCCTCAGGCTTTAGAGACACCCAAGGTCTAAGAAATGCCGGGAGGTTAAACACACTCATCACAGAAGACTGTTTCCAAGCAAGTCAAACACCAGGATACAGCAGAGGGCTTTGGCCAAGGATCCCGCCAGCAGAGTTTCCGTATGTTGACCCTTGATGTCACCTACAAATAATAAAAAGCATTAAAGAGGTAATATTTAAGTACTTTCTTCAACTAAAGCCATTTTCAAACTGAAGTGTTCGTGAGTAAAAGAAAATGATGATATTTTCAGGTTGGGTTTAAAAATAGCAACTTGTTCCCAGTTATACTTAAAAAAAAACAACTTTGAAACCTTTTCTCAACTTAAAATATCCAGGTGCTTGGTTCAGGCTGAAATAAGGGTGGGGCTCCAGTCTGGGATGGTAAGAAAGTTCTAGAGATGGGCGGTGTGAAGACTGCTCAGCCGCGGGACACTTAACATAATGAGCTATACACTTAAAAACTGTTAAAATGGTACATTTTTTGCTATGTAAATTTTAAATTAAAAATTCTAAAAATCAGTAAATAGTAAATTTCATCTAGATTTTACTGTAATGAAAAGCTTTCAAAAAATGTTTAATTATGGGGCTGTGGCTGGGGCTCTAGTGATTGAGCGCTCGCCTAGCTGTGCGGGGCCCTGGGTTCGATCCTCAGTACCACATATAAACAAAGTTATCGTGTGCAACTACAACTAAAAAAATAAATAAACACTTTTTAAAAAATTTAATTATGAAGGCTGGGGTGTGGCTCAATGGAAGAGTACTTGTCTAGCAAATATGCCCTGGGTTTGATCCCCAGCACTGAAGGAGAAAAAAAAAAAAGGTGAATTTTTGATCCTGTTGTTATCTTGAAAGGTTCAAGATTAACCATCTAAGCCAGCACAATGGCACATACCTGTAATCCCAGATGCTCATGAGACTGAGACAGGAGGATCATGAGTTCAAAGCCAGACTCAGCAACTTGGTGAGACCTGTCTCTAAAGTAAATAAAATTTAAAAGGGCTTGGGATGTGGCTCAGTGGTTAAGTGTTCTTGGGTTCAATCCCTGGTACCAAAAAGCAAATAAATAAATAACCATCTACATTGCACGAAATGTCACATATGGGGATAGGGATGTGGATCAGTGGTGAGCACTTGCCTAGCATACATGAGGTCCTGGGTTCAAGCTTCAGTATCATAAATAAAATTAAAATTTTAAAATGTCATGTATAACTATAGACAGCCTGGACAGGGACTGGGCTGAGGCTCCCTGCCACCTTTTCCCACTTCTTCCACTATCCACTGAGGCTAGTCAGTAGAGAGCAGAGAACCCCTTTCCTCTCCTTATGAGAAACAGAGGCAGTCTACTATTTGTTTGATGCTATAGGTAAAAACAGAGAGTTTTCTGTTTGTTTTGTGGTAATAGGAATGAACCCAAGAGTGATTTATATCTCCAAACCCTTCTATTTTTTATTTTGAGACAGAGTCTCACTAAGGTGCTGTGGCTGGCCTTAAAACTTTGATCCTCTAGCCTTAGCCTCCCAAATCCCTGGGATTACAGGTGTGTGCCACTCATTTAAGAAATCAAAATCCAAATCCTGCAACTCAAGAGGGTGAGGAGTCCAGAATTACACTGTGTAAAGGGGACTGTAGCTGGTCCAGGAGATGCTGGAGATCAAACCCAGAGCCTCAAGCATGCTAGGCAAGCACTCTTCTCTCTAGCTATGCCTCCAGGCCCAGGACCCAGGAAAGGTGGTAAAGATTAAACAAAAAAGTTGACCCTATCCTGGAGGCCAGTGATTCTCAAAGCAAGATTCTGGAACCCGCTATAGGAACACTGCCTGGGAACTCAGAAATTCAAATTCTTGGGTTCTCCCCCTGTACTCTGCTTTAATAAGCCTTCAACTGATTTTTTTTTTTTTTTTGCGGGGAGACTACTGGGTATTGAACTCAGGGGCATTTAACCACTGAGCCACATCTCCAGCCCTTTTTATTTTTTATTTTAAGATAGGGTCTCACCAAGTTGCTTAGGGCCTCCCTAAATTACTGAGGCTATCTTTGATCCCATGAACTTCCTGGCTCAGCATCCCAAGCCATCGGGATTACATGCGTGCACCACTGAGCCCAGCTCCTCTAAATGATTCTTAATATCTTTATTGAGGTATGTTTTATAGACCACAAAACTCAGTCCTACTCAATTATTCCTAGAAAGTTTACAGCTGTGCAGCCATCGCCACAATCCAATCTCCACACAGCTTCCGTCACCTGAGATCCCAGAGCCATCGGTGGTCACCCCTTGTCCTTCCAGCCCTGGGCAGAAACTTCTGTGTCTGAAGCCCCCTTTTCTGTCCATGTGGCTCTGACACACACTAAGGTCTGACAAAGTCACAACTGCAGACAACAGGCAACCTGTAAAGGCCTGTGAGGCTGCTGAGATGGGTGTGAGGAGAAGGGAGGGGTCAACAATGAAACTTTGCATCTGGAGACACAGGTGAATTGGGGGACCAACAGGAGGCGGCAACGGTGGTGTCCTTGAGGGCAAGGATAATGGAATCTGGGCAATGTGAAGGAGATCGGGGGGGCACTGAAATGGAGACCAAGAAGTTTGAAAGAAAGTCTAGGCTTGAGACAAAGACTGGCACACATTTGTGTATAAATGACAATAAAAGGCAAAGGTGGATGAGAACAGTCAGAGAAAAAAAGGAAAGGAATAAAACCACGTGCAAAACACATGCACACACACAAGCAGATATGTGCGGGAACAAGATGAAGGAAAAGCTAGAAACAGAGACTAGGAAAGAATGGTCCATAAAAGAGGAAAACCAGATCAACAGAACATCCCCTGAAACAGGCTGCTCAGAGTTGCGAGAAGCAGCAGCAGCTGGTCAGTGGTGTCGAGGCTATAAAGCCAAATACTGTGCAGACTGGGTGAGAGATTCCCAGAAAGAAAAGGAAGAGGGAGAGTGTGCAAGCAGACTGCACAGGAGCCTCAAATCTTTGCTGTGAAGGCCTGAAGAACCTCCCAAATCAAGTCCATTACCAAAATAATAGCCATGAAAATAAAAAGCTGTTACTTTTGGTGATCAGATCCTTAATTTCTTCAACGATAACTTCATTTGCTGCTGTTAAGAGCTCATATTTTCCATCTTTACTGCCCGAAGGATTCAATTCAGAAGGAAAGTTGCTAGAGTCTCCAAAGAAGTCTCCAAGTCGGCCATTCTTCCCAGGATACAGAAACCGACTGAAATAGCGGTGAAAAGAACTCTAGTTACGGCAAGACTCACTGCCCTCCTTTCACTCATGATTAGAATGAAATTCAGAAAAAACAAAATCATATCAATTCTGGACTCACAAGATTCTATTTACTGTAGTAATTTCATTTTTTTAAAAATACATAAAACAGGCACATTGGTAAATATTTCACTTGTCACCACGGAATACTTTAATGGTTCCACTGCTTCTGGAAAAATGTGAGGAGATAAAGGCTGAGCGCGTACTCAGTAGCAGAGCACTTACCCAGCATGCTGAGGCCGTGGGCTAGGCCCCAGCACCACAACAGAAAAATGACATGAGGGTACTGGGCCACAGACCCAGATGACAATTAGAAGATGTCACATCAAATTCTAACTCACTGCTAAGTTATTATTTGAGCTCTACACTATCTACCCCAGTAATAAAGATTTAGCAATAAAGATTTGGGTTCCTGAAAAAGATTCTCCGGTGCTTATAACTCTTAGAATAATCATGCAGAGGATACATTTGATTTCATTTTTGAAAACTAAAAATGCTGCCAGTTATACCATTTACTAGTATCTTAACAAAAACAACATCATATTTCTTATCCAATTCTGAGAAAAATACACAGCAAGGATGGGAACCGAAGTCTGTACTTGGTGCCCTGGACTCTTGTTCCACCAAAGGAAGTATAACTCTTAACAATTAAGGTAATTAGAAAAGTATCCAAGGACCTCTACAAAATATGTTGGTAAATAAGAGTCACTTCCATCGTGATGTGACAGTTAAGATAGAGAAGAGCTGGAGCTTATAACGGGGACCTGATCATACAGTCAGTACATAATGTGCCAAGTAAACATGGTCAGCAGCACTCATGAAAAATACATAGAAAAATCTACACATATCTACACTCACATGCACCATCTGGTAGTGAGTCTAACAACCGGTTTTTTCTGTTTTTGTACAGGGATTAAACCCAAGGGTACTTAACCACTGAGCCATATCCCGGGTCTTTTTTTAATTTTGAGACGGGGTCTCAATAAGTGGCTTAGGGCCTCACTACGTTGCTGAGGTTGGTCTCAAATATGCGATTCTTCTGCCTCAGTTTCTGGATTTTCCGGGATTACAAGTATGTGTCACAGCACCTGGCCAGAGCCAAGGTCGCTGCTGCTCATGGTCACACCAGGAGAGGCAGGCAGAGCTGCCCTGGCTGAAAGGAGCATGACCACACATGCAGTGGAATCTGCCCTTTGGGGAGGAGCGATAAGGAAGGAGCTGGGAGTTGCCAGCCTGGTTGTTCGTTATTCTTCTTAGACAATATAGTTGATTTGTGTAAATGAAATGCGTCACTGTGCAAGTCAACTTTTTATCAGTGTTCTTACATATTGAAATGCACATGTACTACTGTTCACCACAACCAGAAAATTTTATTTTATAATGTAGACTAGAAACAGCACATCCCAACTGGCACAAAAACCTCAAAAATGTCAAGCAGTGAACACAAAGTGGTCCTAAGAGTCATGCATACCTTTCTTGAATGTGACTTGCTATCACAGCAAGCTTGTTGGAACGATTCATGAATAAATGGGAGTTTCCCAGCACCATCACGGCGTCCATGCATCTGGATAAAGTGAACTGTGGAACAAACAGGAGACATGGGGACAACAGGCTCACTCTCCAATAACTCAGATTACAGAATGACTTTAAAGATATATAAACCCATTCATAGGATAAAACTGCACAACAATACACAAACACACCAACACCCATAACGAGTGCACAAGAACCAGCCTTCTAAGTAAGGTCTGAGAGTGCCCTGGTTTTGATACTGTGCCACAGTTGTGTAATATGTCACCACTGGGGGAATCAGGAATGGGCCATGGGATCACTCTCCACCATGTTTAAAGTTTCCCATCAGCCTATGATAACTTTTTTTTTTTTTTGGTGGTGCTAGACATTGAACCCAGGACCTTGTGCATGAGAGGCAAGCACTCTGCCAACTGTGCTTTCTCTCCAGCCCAGACTATGATAATTTTTTAAAAGACTACTTACTATATAAGTCAATTTATTAAATGTTCAGAAAAGGCAATATAGACACAGAAGGCAAATCTGACACAAAACTTGTATCTAGAATTTATAAAGAGATCTCAAAACACAAACCACCTGCATTGCAGCTTGGGATGGAGGCAAAAATTGACTGTAAACAGGCCTGAGAGAACTTCAGGTGACAAAACAAATGTTCTAAAATGGGATTGTGGTGCTCGTTACACAACTTCACTAACTTACTAAAAAGTCACAGAAGTGTATGTTATAATTTATGTAAATTATACCTCAATAAAGCCAGTTTTTTTTTAAGTTGCAGTTGGACACAATACCTTTATTTTATTTATTTATTTTCATGTGGTTCTGAGGATCAAACCCAGGGCCTCACACATACTAGGCAAGCCTTCTACCTCTTGAGCCACAACCCCAGCCCCAAGCCAGGTTTTTTTAAAGTGATATAAACATATACAAGTTAAAACAGAAACATCCAAAGACCTCTTCCAGCCATCTTACCTGAGATTCCTTTAATGCTTGCTTCCCCCACCAAATTGGGTTGGCATCAACTATGATAACCAGAAGATTCAATTCATCTTCTGAAAACATTAACAAGAAATGAAATTTAAAAACATTTGCTGCATAAAAATGAATCAAAGCTGACATTCCCAATGTGTACAATAAATCCACTACATGGCTCTAAATGTTTCTTGTTTTTAAGAAATTTTTTTTGTAGTTATAGATAGACAGCATACCTTTATTTTATTTATTTATGTGGTACTGAGGATTGAACCCAGTGCCTCACACATGCTAGTCAAGTGCTCTGCCACTGAGCTACAACCCCAGCTCCATTTTATCCTCTTATAATCATAAGATTAACAGAAAGCCACTTGTTTTAAAGGTTTAAGCTCAGACGGCCCTTGCCTGCTCCCTACTCTGCTGCATGCTCTAGAATACCATGAGCCACATTTCATCAAACCTAAGGCAATATGGATTATGAAATATGCACACACACACACCCCTTTTGGGCTGGGGATCAAACCCAGGGCACTTTACCCCTGAGCTACATCCCCAGTCCTTTTAACTTTTTGAGACAGGATCTAAGTTGCTTAGGACTTCACTTAAATTGCTGAGGCTGGCCTTGAACTTGCCATCCTTCTTCCTTAGCTTCCCAAATTGCTGGGATTACATCATGCCCCAGCATGCCTGGCAAAATGTGCCCTTATTTAAGGTACCGCTAAGAAAAAAAAAAAAAAATGCTGCCATCTTCATTGTAGAACACCATCTGGCTTTCAGCAAAGGCAGGAATTTCTGTCTGTTCACAACTTATCCTCAGCTCCTAGCACACAACAAGTGATCAGTAACTATCTACTCAATGAACCCAAAGTTATTCACACTTTAAATGCCTGGTTAGGGACAGAAAATCTTGAATAACCAGTAGTACAATCACCAGTGAGAGAACCACAGGCACAGAGGTGAAGGGGAAGCCCAGAGTCAACTTGGCTCAGCGATCATCCAGTCACCTCACAACAAGCCAACTGAACATGGAACCAATTTTTAAAAAGTAAAAACCAAAAGGGGAAGATCAATTTACTATGAAAAGGAATCATGCCGCTTTCCAATTGTGAAAGACAAGACACAACTAAACAGGCTACCGTAACGTAGTACTCACTCAATATTTACAGTAAGCACCAGTACTGACTGTTGGGGTCTTGGGTCCATGTCCACAGAGCTAGACTTTTAACTGAGGTGGCAGACAGGTGAACACCTGAGTGCACTGGAATGAGAAGCCGAGGGTGCTCCTGTGATATGCAGAGCAGTGATGCCCTTCCTACCTCTGCACCCTCCTTCCTGTGATTCCCTCTCCTATATCAGGATAATCCTCTCCCATTTTTGTTTCTGCATATCCAAAATCCTAGTTTCTTTTCAAAGTCTCAAACCAGCCAGGCGCAGTGGCACATGCCTGTAATCCCAGCAGCTCGGAGGCTGAGACAGGAGGATCACAGTTCAAAGTCAGCCTCAGCAAAAAGCAAGGCACTACACAACTCAGTGAGACTCTGTCTCTAAATAAAATACAAAAAACAGGACGGGGGATGTGGCTCAGTGGTCAAGTGCCCCTGAATTCAATTCCTGGTACCCCCCCCTCCAAAAAAAGTCCCAAACCAGTGTAACCTCTTTCTTCCAGAGGTGATAGCCCTCCCATCTTGGGGGCTGGGAGGTTCCAGCCTGCTCCACACTAGGCACTGGCATCTATGATCCCACAACCCCATTCCATCCTGACTGCAACCCAGCAAGGGACATAGTACTGCTGTCTTTCATCAGTTATAATATGTACCCCCTCCTTTTAAAAACCTAGATAGTACCCTACAATTAAGATTGGCAGCATTTTTTTCCCTAAGTGATACTGCACATTTTGTAATGCATATTATCTTAGTTTTGATAAATATGGTATATAGTATCCCTATTTTGCAAATGAATGTAACTTGTTCTAAGTCACACGGACTCTTAGCAAGTGGAAAAACCAATTTGTTGACTCTAAAGACTAACACTTCAGGGCTGGGGATGTGGCTCAAGCGGTAGCGCGCTCGCCTGGCGTGTGTGCGGCCCGGGTTTGATCCTCAGCACCACATACAAAGATTTTGTGTCCGCCGAAAACTAAAAAATAAATATTAAAAAAAAAAAAAAGGACTGACACTTCAGGGGCTGGGGCTCAGCGGTAGAGCGCTCGCCTGGCACGTGTAAGGCACTGGGTTCGATCCTCAGCACCACATTAAAAAAAATAAATAAAATAAAGGTATTATGTCCAACTACAACTAAAAAATAAATATTCTTTAAAAAAACATTTTTTAAAAAAAAGACTGACACTTCATGGCCCACTGTCTTACCTCTGCCTACCACCAACACCACTAACTAACTCTCTTCTAGTGACATTTGACACCAACTGTGTTTCTGATTTCTCTTCCCAATACTGCCTGCTGGACTAGACACCTTAAGGAATAATGATTTTTTTTTTTCTTTTGCTATCCCAGGTTGAGATAATCCCTGTAAATCACATAATGAAGCACCAAGCCCTGAAGCTAACTGTGCCTGCTGCAAGCCCCTCCATACCCCACAGCCTGTAAGCCTTTGTCTTAATTCGCCCTCAGGCCCCAACATAAAATCCTCAGGCTTTTCAGTCCTTGCTACTGCCTAAAATTTTGAGAAAGAGGAAAAAAAAATGTGGTCTGTCAGAAGTATGGCTCTACACACTGCAATGTCCTGTAAATTTCCTTCTGTTTCTCTACCTTACTTGCAAACCAGAAATGCCAGGCCTGTGTCCTTCACAGGGTTGTGAGGCCAGTGAAAACGGATAAAGGGAGTATGATCCATTGTCCTCACCTCTCAGTGGACCTCCCAAAGTCTAGTGTTGCCCCTCACAGTTCACCTTCCACACAGCAGCCAAGTGATCTTTTAAAATTGGAAATCAAAAGTCTTTGCTTAAAACCCTGAAACGGCTTCGTAAAATAAAGCCCACAAGACCCTTCATGATTTGCATGACCAAAATCCAGCTCATTCTCAAGCTCATTCATTTCACTTCTATTTCTTCAAGACATTAAGGCCCTATAATTGGTAGTTTAATGTATAGATGAAAGTCTCTCCACCTTCCTCTACCAAACTCCCTGTTTCCCTCTTCTCAGTGTAAACTGGTAATTCGACCAACCACAGGGCCTTTGCATTTGAAATACACTTCCCGCAGAGTTTCACAGTCATTCGAGTTCCACTATGTCGCTTTTTTCTGGACTCCCAATGAAGTAGCTCCTCCTTGATCATAGTCCCCACAACGTCCTTTTATATTTCCTCTTACATTGTCTCACAACTCTTGTTACCCTTTGGGATTTTATTTACTTGCCGAATACCCCTCTTGCTCACAGTGACCTCCTCAAGCATCCCCGTCCGCCACGTTCTCTACCGTATTGCCCAGCGCAGAAAATACTGCCTGGCGCACAAGCGATCCAAAAGTAGCTCCTGAATGAATGGAGGGACGCACGGGCTCCTCCACTAAAACCCAAAGGGATTCCATCCGGCCCAAAGACGCACTCTGCTTGGCAGGTCCGGGCCAGGCCCACTCCGCCCAGCCCCGGGGTCGGGTCCCTCCCTGCGCGGCCCTCACCGTCAGACCCCATTGCGACCCCGTCCCTCTGCGCAGAGAACTAGCGGTCGAGCGTGCGCTCTGGAGCCAGCGCACCCCAACTTCCGGCGCCGCGAGTGACGCACGCGTGGCTGGGCCCGGGCGCGAGCGGCACTCACGGCCCCGCCCCCAAAGCGACGGAAGTGGCGTCTGGGGTGCGCCGCGCGCTGTCAGCTTCTGGCTTGGCCGGTTCAGTCGCGGGACTCGCTAGCAGCGAGCGACTCTGGGGCCCCAGCTCTCCGCGGTCCTGAGGCACCATGGACGACAGGGGTGAGTCGGGATGGGCTGGGGGGACGAGCCGCACGGAGGACCCCACCAACCTCCCAGCCAGACTGGGCTCGGGAGAGTCGCTGTCCACTCTCCGGCCGCTCGGCTGGACTTTCCTATAATCAAAATTAAATCCCCCTCGCTGCTCCCGAGTCAGGGAATGGGCCTGAGAGCGTCCCCAGACGCCCCTCCACACATCCCCGTCCCCGGGCCTCCGAAAAAAAATGAGACCCGGACCTCGTAAAGGAGGAAGGCTTCCTGCCACAAGGATAAGGCATCTTTGGTCTGCTCATCCTGTACGGTTATCAAGGTGTCTTATTAAGTGACAAATGAGGGCGAACTAATACAATGCTTGTCATGTAAAAAAATAAAGCGAAGTGGATTGAACTCTCCATATACATGTGTGTATGTGAGTAAACTTGAATTAGCACAGACTCTGGGGGGAGAGCAGGGGAAATTGGAAAGGTAGATGACTCTGTGATCCTCTCAACACTTAGGAAAGAGTAGGAAGGAGAATGACTTTTCATTACCTTAACAGTAGGGCTTAAAATTTATGCCTTGCATACAGATAACTATCTTAAAATAAGAAAGAGATCTTGTAACAGTAAAGTGGTGTCGTCTCTATGCCTATCAGCATTTATCATGTCCCTATAACACTCCCAAAAGAAAGTATTTTTAAAATGACTTTGCTTAAGGTCAGCAATCATAAACAAGCTCTCCAGCCTTACATCCTGCTAAGTGAATCTGATTAGTCACTTTTTTCTCCCTTCTCAGAATTAATTGAATACTTCAAATCTCAGATGAAAGAAGATCCTGACATGGCTTCAGCAGTGGCTGCCATCCGGACTTTGCTGGAGTTCCTGAAGAGAGATAAAGGTAAAGAGTGTCATTCTTGAACACTCTGGGTCTTAGGAAAGTCTTCTGAGGACTATTAGAAATGTAGAAAATGAGACATGTATATTTGTCTAGCCTTAAGCCAACTTCTTTCTTTATTTCAGGCCTTTTAACCTGGAGCTAGCCCTCAAGTTGTCATCAGAAAGGATCCTTTCCATAAATGAAATGTGCTTTGAATCAAAAATGACCATTTTTTCTCATTAACCATGCTTAAATTACAGCAGTAATTCAACTTTATACATGTTTATTGAGCTTCAGCTTTGCCCTGAGTTCTCTGCAGACACTACAGAGAACATTTCAGAATAAATTCTGTTATTAAATATCATTCATTGTGATCTATTAATTCACCGTTCTAAATGTAAGTGTCTGAGTATGGTATAACAAAGTGGTAGTAATGATGATGCGGCCACCTTCTGTAAACTGAAGGGCTGGCCTACAGATGTGTTTCTACAACGACCTCCACTGGCTTCGCATCATACCTACAACAACATTCAAATCTGAGGCTGCCCTGTACTGTCACATCTTCACCTCTACTTAATTATGTTCCATGTTGTCCGCCCCTAAACTATGCTACAGCCCTGCTAGCCTCTCATTGTTTTTCATGCCAATTTTATTCCCATATTGGGGCCTTTGCATTGTTATGGTCTATGCCTGGAACTTTCTTCACTGGGTCTTTATGTGGCTGTATCCTTTATTATTCAGGTCTCAGTTTAAAATGGTCCCCATTCCAAGAGGCCATCTCTTTCCAGTAGGCACCTTGTTCATCCTTCTGTTCTTTCCTGTCTCTACTACATTCTATAATTCATTTATTTGCTTGTTTGTTGTTTGCATTCTCCACTAGGAAGCAGAGCCCTGTCTTTTTCACTGATGTATCCCTGTCATCTAGAGCAGTGTCTGGTATACAGATGAAACCAGTAAATATTCACTATATGGATGAATCACACACTAGCAAGGGACTGTGACACTCTGGGGAACATCAAATTTCTCCTTTGATCATTCCAGGGGAGACAATCCAGGGCCTGAGAGCAAATCTCACCAGCGCCATAGAAACCCTGTGTGGCGTGGACTCCTCCGTGGCAGTGTCCTCTGGTGGGGAGCTCTTCCTTCGTTTCATCAGCCTTACCTCCCTGGAGTACTCGGTAAGCCATTGACTGCCATCTCTGATTGACTGCAGATATTCTCAGCTTTACCTGGATCTTCTTTCCTCATTTTGCTCTTCTCTTCCTAGGATTACTCTAAATGTAAAAAGATCATGATTGAGCGAGGAGAGCTTTTTCTCAGGAGAATATCCCTGTCGAGAAATAAAATTGCTGATCTATGCCATACTTTCATCAAAGATGGGGCGGTGAGTAGATATCTATCACATGTGGTAACAGAGCAAGGACTTTGGAATCAGGTGATTAGGGCTAAAATCCCAGCTCTTCCACTTATTTAATGAGTAACCTTGGGCAAGTTCTTTAGTCTTCTCATCTGTTCAATAAGAACAACAATAAAGCCTTCCTCATGGGATCACTGTGAGGACTAAATGAAATGTTATGTATAGGGGCTCAGCGCTCTGCCTGGCACACACTGCTGTATAAATATTTATATATAATATATAAATATTATATATATTTTTTATATATTATATATTATACACAGTGCTGTATAAATTATTATATATAACAATATACAAATATTATAAATGCTTGTTGGTGTGAACAGGCAGAGGAAGACATTGGCATAGCATTGGTGGTTCTTAATTTAACAAGAAGTTCTTCTAAAGAAGTATTTTTATGATTGGATATATAGTTGGTTGAATCCACACAGACCAGCTCTTGTCACTGGTTAACATGAAGCATCTTCCTGGTGAAGGTTAGCACTGGGTGGAGATTTTAATCTTGTTTCAGATGCTGTGGCAGTAATGCAAGGCTGCCAGACGCGCATCAGTCAAGTGAGGAGAGACAGGAACTTCTTGTTGGGCCGGTCTCTCAGCACAGGGGTCATACTCATAAAACTTTTATGATGTCTCTCCCACCAGCATACATCTTACATCCTATTTGCCACCTAAGCCTCCACTGACCATAAAAGATTTTTACTTGCATTTCAACTCTTAAATCTTGTCCTCTTTTTTTATTATCCCTTTCCAAACCTTAGAAGTTATTAAATAAATTACATAGTAGGTGTGAGTGAAACTGTACAAAAGCCAATTCACGAACAAAGCCTTTTTGGGCCAAGTGGAGGCAGGGTTGTGCCACCTCTTGCCGAAGACTTCTCCATCCCTGCCCTAGACTTGCCATGCTTGTCAGTATTCGGCAGGCTTCCTCTGCCTGCATCACCCTTCTCTGCACTGATCTAGACTACATTTAGAACAGGGCTGCTCACATTTGAACATGCAGATGAGTCACCAAAGGTTCTTATTAAATGCAGATGCAGCAGTTCCAGGGTAGGGCCTGCGAACCTGCATTTCTAATGTGTCGAATAGGACTGACAGGAGCTAGAGAGCCATGTCTGTCGTCCTGTTTTACATGATCCTTCATGTTCTCCCTTGGAACAGGGACCACATGTAAATGTCCACAAATACCATCTGCACCACAGACGGCTTGTTTTTATCCCAGACAGTATTCATAAAATTTTCAACTAACACTATTAGCTAACACTTAATTATTAGATTTTCAGCTTCTCTGGAAAAATCAGATGTTTTGGCAATAGTGGAACCACATGACAACAGTAAGAGCTAAGGAACCTGGGTCCCCTTAGTCTTTCCACAGCCAGTGGTGCCACCTCACCCGCTGCATTGACTGATATGATCTGCCTGGTACCTGTCTACCCAAGTGTGCAAACTATGTCTTAGAGATAGGGAGACCAACCCAGGGAACCCCATGGGCTCTCAGACCCTGTGTGGGGGCTCCACTAGGGAAACCCACACTACATTGCTCTAGCAGGAACTTTTTCAGCTTGTAGGGGGATTGAAACTCAGTGTACTCTCAAGGTCTCTTCTGATGATGGTTGACTTGTGAGGAAAGCCTACAGAGGAGCTTGGAGCGCCAGGACATAGTGCACACATCACAGTGCAGATGGTGTGGGCAGTCGCCAGGGAGCTTGCCCCTTCATGAAACCTTCTCTATCCACAGAGAATATTGACTCACGCCTACTCCAGAGTGGTCCTGAGAGTGCTTGAAGCAGCTGTGGCAGCCAAGAAGCGCTTTAGCGTGTACATTACAGAGTCACAGCCTGATCTGGCGGGGCAAGTATCTTCCCATTTGGTCACAGGTTGATCAGTCATTATGGAGCATACCAAGGACTGGAATCCATCATAGTAGGAACCAGAACATGCCCCCATTGGCCAGGCAGGCGACATGGCCTTCGAACTTGTCATTCCTGCTCCTGGAAAAACAATCATGTTGGATTTGCAGCAGGGCAGAGTATAGGCTCCAGGTTTCTATTTAAGTAGTCAAATCAGAGGAACACCAAGACTGTTGCTGAGAAGTTTTTATTAAGGAGTAGGTACTTCACACCCCTATCTTTTCAGAAGATAATAAAAGCAAAACTTTTTCTTTTTGCAAGAATTTCCATCTTTTCCCCAGAATACCCGAGTATATTTTTCCTGAAATTTAGAGACAGGGTCTCAGTTGCTTAGTGCCTCACTTTTGCTGAGACTGGCTTTGAACTTGAGATCCTCCTGCCTTAAGCTGCCTTAAGATGCTTTTTCTTAGAAAAAACAAATTCTTGTTTCCTTAATCCAAAAGTCTTGGGACCTGCCCCTTAGTCCATAAGTAATAACTGAGCTTCAAGCTAGCATGATTTATCACTGTCTTAATTGACTCATCAAACATCAGCATGGGACTTTCTTGGACTTTCCCTAATTTTCTCAAAATGTCATCTTTAGTAAGAAAATGGCCAAAGCGCTCTCTCACCTCAACGTCCC